CCACCATAAGAGAGACATGGATCTGTTGGAGAATGTTCAGAGGCGGGCCACAAAGATGATCCAGGGGCTGGAGCACCTCTGCTATGAGGACAGGCTATGGGAGCTGGGATTGTTCAGTCTTGAAAAGAGAGACTCCGGGGGGACCCAATAGCTGCCTTCCAATACCTGAAGGGAACCTACAGGAAGGCTGGGGAGGGACTTTTTACAGGAGTGTCCACTGATAGGACAAGGGGAAATGGGTTTAAGTTGAAGGAGAATAGATTTAGATTGGACCTTAGGAAGAAATTCTTCGGTACGAGGGTGGCAAGACTTTGGAATAAATTGCCCAGAGACATTGTGGCTGCCCCCTCCCTGGAGGTGTTCAAGGCCAGGTTGGACAGAGACTTGAGTAGCCTGATCTAGTTGAGAGGTGTCCCTGTCCATGACAGGGAGGTTGGATTAGATGATCTCTAAGGTCCCTTCCAGCCTAGGCCATTCTATGATTCTATGATTTCCCCCATCTGTCCTAAATTGTTTTGCAGGTTTTTTTATGATGTGTTTAGCAGGAGATGTACTTTAAAGGTATGCATGTTGGTCCCAGGTAGAGTTTAACAGGTATTTAAGTATGCAGAGTGTATTAGGAGAAGAAGGTGTTCAGTGCAAATAGTTATAATGTGTACAGAATAATCTCATATATACTTCTTGCAAGAGCAAGTTCGTATGATGAATGTGTAAGGATCGGTAGGTTCAGCAATCTGAGTATAGGTGAAGGTGGAGATTTCCAGAATAATTATGATAATTTCCCTCTGATATATTGTCTTCCTACAAATACTAACACCATGGCAATACTTACCTAAAAAACAACCCATCTAAATCTTTAACAGGAGGAAGAATGTAGATTTTGGTGCTTTGAGTAATCACTACATAAACTTGTGTCTTTTACCTCTGAATGTAAGTAAGGATGTTGCATGAATCCGTGTAAGAAGATATTTTTGACTGTGGCAAAAAACCAGATTTTTCCATCTGCAGAATATTCACTTTAGATGTTCACACATTGCAGTGGGGACTATGAAGTTCTGGAGAATCAGACCAATTTGACAATATATTTGTCCAACAGCTGGTAATTATCTCTGTTTGGGTTTAGTGCTCAGCCTGTGGGTTGCAAGAGTGTCATCACAAGTTAGTTGATCTCATACAGTTTGATAAATCTGGTTTGTTACATTCCCCGCTGGAATGGTAACATAAAGCAAGGAAGCTTTATTTTGAGAAAGAAATAATTTCCTCTAAAATGTAACAGCAACAGATCCTGTCCTATCTCCAAAGTACCTCCTTCCTGCTTTGTAGTGTTGTGTGGAAACATTATTGTGTTGATGTAAATATTAACATAAAACCAGAAGGACAACAAAACCAAGGAAAGAGACAAGTTTTGTGTACAAAACTCTGGAAGGCCATTCAAACTACCCACATCTAGACTCCTTCCTAACAAATGTGATGTGTTAGCAGTCCTCATGAAGTCGGGCTGCAAACTGCCACATGCCACATGCTTCTCATAATTGTTTAATTTGTGCTTGTACCCTTTACTAAAGGAAGGGACTTGCAAGCACGGCATGAGGCAGGGCAAGGATTGCAGAGTGGGACTAACTCTGGCAGTGGGAACGGTTGTATCAGCACAGTAGAAGTGGTCTGGGCTTGTCTCAGCCATTTGGGAAGGCTAATAAGAACAGATAATATGAAAATAGCCTGATTTTCTCTTCCAGTGTCCACAGATGTCAACAAGAAGCAAGTATAACTCTACATGCAAAAACAATATAAAGCATCTGGCTGTGGCATTGCTCTTCTAGGAGCTTTGACTGATCTGCAGCCAGGACACTGCTGACATGATGAGAGGTCAGGCACGACCAGGAGGCAAGAGGGTGCAGGACCAGTCTAAATGGCGTTGTTCTTTCAGATAGGAAGCAGGGAGGTGTCAGGAAGGGGTGGTTTTTAAGCTTGCTTGAAGGGCTTTTGGGAAAAAGTAGTTAACAAGTTATGTTTTCAAGAAAAGATAGAGGCTTACCTTGAAGCTGACTGTGCTTACGACAAGCCCTGAAACCTGGAGCCTTGAGGTTCTGGGCTGTCTGTCCTAGGTCCAGTGTGAAATGCAAATAGTGGGCTGGGGGTTCATGTTCAGGTAAGAGATGGCAGAGCAGCAATAGCCTCTGGTTTTGCGTTCTGACTTCCATGTAAACATACCTCAAGGTCCTGTGCTGTTTCTGACAGTCTTTGAGATGAGAATCTCACCTCAGAACCACAAGGATGTGAGGGAGTGTGATGGTTTCAGCCTCGTTGTATCAGACAAGAAGAAACAACATCTGCTCTTGGCTTCCTTAGAAGAATTTCTAGTTGTTCAGACTCCTTTTAGTTTGAGACCCAGCTTTAGCTACCAAAATATTTTTAGTTTTGCAGTAAGCTTCTCATAGGCCACAGGAGTAGAAGAGGAAGTGACCCATGAAATATTTGCAGAGGTGATATTTAGTGTGTGTTCTGCTGAAGTGTTTCTCTCAATATATTAAATATTTATATAGCCCTGCAGTCACTATTAATCCAAGTAATCATGTTTTCCCTAGTACACCACGGATCCTTACCTTATGGTCACCCCCTTGAAATTAATCAAAGTGAACAGAGTTGTCAACACTGGAAGATAGTTTATTATTTTAGAAAATACCATCTATTTCTGCCTGACCAGAGCTAGATGTTGCTAAAAGATATTAAGAAGGTTAATGTTACATGAACTGTAAATGTTTCCTTTAACATTTACACAGGCAAAAGAGGCAAATGGAGGATCAGTCGATCCTGTATTTTCATTGGTAATAAGTGATTTGTTCAAAACTGAAGTACCCCATGCAAAGCATTTACTTGGTGATCGTAAAAATTGTTGCTTTTCTGAGAACACAGGTGGAAATTTTTTCTCTTTGATTTGACATACCAATACAGGTTCCCTATCTATGGGCATGCAGTATTAATAGAATACAATTTATCCTTAATACTGCTCTGTTTTTATTTCTCTTCATATTTCCTAGCTCCTCTTTTTTGTCAGATTTCTGTCACCTTTTCCCTTCTCTTTCCCATTCTGTTCCACTTGTACGTACAGGAGTAGCTCAAAGGTGCTCTGCTGTGTAGGCAACCACTCATGTATCCAGGCACATAAGCTAATTCTTATTAGAAGCAAGCAGAGGTTCATCATGCTGCCAAGTTCAGCCTCATAAGGACAACAACTCACTGAAGTGTCCTTCTGAATTACAGGTCTCCACTGGTCAACCCACTCACATTCCCTTTTTTTTTTTTTTTCCCTTTTCTCCTCCCAGAAGTACTGCTTCTCACTTTTTTTTTCAGTTAAGAATTAGAGATTTGATACCATAATACTAGCATCTCCTTTGTCAAGATATTCTTTTCAGCATCTTCTTTGAAAAGAAGATGTCTGTTCCTAGTTAACTATGAGAAGTAAACAGTATTCCTCCTGCCTGAACTACACTGAGATCCTTAACCCTTTGGCCTTTTAAGAAACTGCACAGTAAGGAACTGAGACAATTGCAGAAAACATAAAAATACAGTATATTTGACATCTGTCACACTTCTTTTTTTTGCTCTTACGACATTTGCCTCTTCCTAACCTCCTATTTTCCTGGGCTCTCGTCCTTTTATTCAGTTTTTAAACATCTTTATCTTGTGGAGGAAGGAGAGGGATGATTTATCTCTTCCTGCTGCTCCCTGTTCCTGATGTTTGCCTGAACCCAGGCCTCCAGAATGTAACCACATTTTGCCCAGTCATCCCTGTGTCATGCTTCACTCTGCTTTCTTATCTTGCTTTATATTAACATTTCCTTCCCTCTGTCTCTTGTTTTGCTTCTACTGTTCCTACTAGAATACACACTTGAGCTTAAATGAAAGGAAATGCAGAATAACTTTTCTAATGTCATTGTAACCATCACCCTCTTTCTCCTTTCCGTGCTTCCGTTAGATGAAATGTTAATTCTTTTGCAAAATCTTCTGTAATGAAGATGTTTTTCTTGTGTTTCTCTTGAATGCTCCTGTTAGTTACTGGATATCTTTAGACAGGAGAGGAAGACTATAATGGTCAAATAAGTGTCTCTGTTCACTCTAAAAACCTGAAGTGCTGTAAGACTACGATGGAAAGCAATATGCAATGAATGTGGTTATCTGCATCATTGATAGTACTTTATTACTCTAGTCTGTTTATCAAATTAATAACTGTTACTTATAAGCCTGCAATCAGACAAAAATTAGGGAAGAGGTTTAAGTTCTTACTCACATCAGAGCTGAAGAGAATCTGGCTATGACTATTGATAGCTAAGCTATCAGATTGCTTCCCAGCAAAGAGGAACATGGGCAAGAATGCCAGGAGGCCTTCATGGATGAACAGGGAACTCCTGGACACAATTACTTGCAAAAAGAAAGCCTACAGAAGGTGAAACAGGGACAGGTAACCTGAGAGGATTACAAAGAAGTTGTCCAAGCAGCCAGGAATCAGAGTAGGAAAGCCAAGGCTCAGATAGAATTAAATCTGGCCGGGACATCAAGGGTGCCAAAAAAAAAGCTTTTACGGGTATATCACTGACAAAAGGAAGAACAGGGAAGAGGTGGTCCCTCTCTGGAAGGAAATGGTAGACGTGGTCACACAGGATATGGAGAACGCAGAGGTTCTCAATGACCTTTTTGCCTAGATCTTCACTGTCAAGGGCTCTAACCACACTACTCAAGTTGCAGAAGGCAAAAACAGGAACTGGGAAAATGAAGATCTGACCACAGTGAGAGAAGATCAGGTTCAAGACCATATAATGAACCTGAAGGTGTGCAAGTCCATGGGTCCTAACAAGATCTGTCCATGGGCTCTGAGGGAACTGGCAGACAAAGTTGCAAAGCCACTTTCCATCATATTTGAAAAGTCATGGCGGTCTGGTGACTGGAAAAGGGGAAACAGAACCTCCATTTTTAAAAAGGGAGAAAAGGAAGACCCAGGGAGCTACAGGCCAGTCTCACCTGAGTGCCAGGCAAGATAATAGAGCAGATCCTCCCGAAGGCTCTGCTAAGGCACATGGAAAATGAGGAGGTGGTTGGTGACAAGCAACATGGTTTCACCAAGGGAGGGTCCTGCCTGACAAATTTGCTGGGCTTTTATGATGGGATTGCAATGTCAGTGGATAAGGGAAGAGCAACTGACAGTATCTATCTGGACTTGTGCAAAGCATTCAGCACTGTCCCACACAACATCCTGGCTTCTAAATTGGAAAGACATGGATTCAATGGATGGACCAGTGGCAAGTGGTGTTCCTTAGGAGTCAATACGGGAACTGGTGCTGTTTAACATCTTTCTTGGCGACAGGGACAATGAGATCAAGTGTACCCTCAGCCAAGCTGTGTGGTGCAGTAGACACGCTGGAACAGGTTGCCCAGAGAAGTTGTGGATGCCCCTTCTCTAGAAGTGTTCAAGGCCAGGCTGGATGGGGCTTTCAGCAACTTGCTCTAGTGGGAGGTGTCCCTGTCCATGGCAAGGGGGATGGAACTAGAAGATCTTTACGGTCCCTTCCAACACAAACCATTCTATGTTTTTATGATTGTATGAAATTGCCTTTGAATTTAAAAGAGAGAAGTCACATTCCCAAATATTAAGAGATGGTTAGTTGTTAGAGCCACTAAATGCAAGCTAAAAATTGGCAGCTGAAAGTTTATTTTTCTTGGCTGAATTATAGGGATTATTTTAGCCTCATACCTCTCTGCTTAGCTAAATCGTATAAATAGCAGATAAATTCTTTTTAATTCAAGCAGGTGCCCCTTAGAAGCAGTGACAATACTAAAAAATACACTGTGTTCCTGTGTTTTAGTTCTGGACTCAAACCTTGCCAGAAACATGCCGCTTGAACATTTGCCCTTTTATAAAATAAAAAAAAAAATAGTTAAGGGATGAAAACTACAGTGCCTTAACAGTGCAGATTTACAGACATTGGGTGTAGAGGAGTCCAGAGCCAGTGGGGTGTAAACTGACCCTGCCAAAGAGAAGTGGTGTAATAACGAACACAAGAGAAATCCACTAGACAGAGGTATTATATTAGAACATCAGACAGCATGCTTCAATAAGGTAATTTTGCAACTGTGGTAGAGGAGGGCGGTTGAATTAAAGGCTGGATTATTTTCTGTGCCAGAGGGCTTCTGCCAGTCACGGCAAGTGTTGTACAGGCTCTTTCTGAGTTTAGACTGCAAGTTCTATATGTCCAGCTATACGTAATTCCTATCACACTTGCTGTCACAGCTGTATTACAAGCAATTAAACTGTTGGGCAAGACAATGCAAAGAACAAATTACAATGCCAGATTAGACAAGAGAAAACAAACCCTAAACTGGATACTAAGGGAACCTCTGGTAATAGATGTAGAGGAAATTAATATTGTTTTGAAGATACCACAGGATGTAGATCTGACAAGAGGCTCTGGTGGGACTGTAATATGTGGCAGTTCTAGACAACTCATTTTAATTGCTTATGTTTCTATCTGCTGCTTAGAAAGGAAATATTTTTCTGAAAGGATACTTAATGGACTGCAAAGGCAATTGTTATTTTTGAAAGCATATTTGCAAGGTGATTTAAAATTGTTACAGAGGCTAGTTTCCAATTTACTAGCCCAGGCTGTATTTCAGAGATTTCAGATAAACTCCAAGTTGTTTAGTAACAAGAATGGAAATTGAAAAACTGCATTTGCTTCATAGCAACATACATGTTATAAATTATAAAGTTGTGCATAAAATGTATAGACATTTGCTTTCTGGATCCATATCGTTGGATTAGGTTTTCTCATAGAATCACAGGAGGTAAATATGTTGATTGCTATGTTGATTGTCACGATCTCCTTGGTTCCATTTCTTTATGGATTTTTTCTTGTATTTTGAGCAAGTGTTCACACTGCAAATGATCCAGAGGTTACTAGCGTAGGCTTTCAGATAGCTGAAGACAACAGAAACTTTCAAGGTGGAAGTTGGGACACTTGTTTTGTTGTTGTTGTTTTACTCTCACTGATTTGTGGGTACACATTAATAGATGTCAATGTCCATATAGACCTATGTTAAGTTATATTCATCAAACAGAGAGATTAATATTTAGAGGTTTTATTTTAGGCACTGTACAGATAGCAAACTGCCAGTTGTAGATCTGGTGGCCACAAGTCTGCCATTTTGATACAGTTGATTTGTGGACCAACAAAGCTTCTCTAAAGTGGGCTTATAGTTCCATTTTTAAGAATATTTTGGAACTTGGATGATTCATAAGCGTTATCAGGAATCTACTGCAGGCTAGAGACATTTCTCAAGAATGATGTTTGTCTGAAGAGTTACTTTTTTTGGTTTTTAAGAACAGAGATGTATGACAGTTGCATAGAATTACCCTTATTACTATTAAGTCACTTTCTCTTTTCCTCTGTTGGCTCTTGTAAAATTGATTTTTTTCTGATTTTTCACTGATTCTTTGCTCAGTAGTTTTCTTATTATTTTTTGGGGTTTCCTGCTTTAGAAAAACAAAGTGCAGCATGTGGCATAGTGGTAATATATATCCTTGGAAAAAAACACTTCACTTCTCACTGTCAGATCATTCTATTTGATTGTGAAGGCTTGACATGATGCTATTCCTCCATCGCATGTTAAAATTTCCACAACTGTTTTTGCAAAAAAGGTGCCCATGGCTCTGCTGTCCTCCTCAAAACTGACTCTTAGTCTGGGATAACAAGCAGGTTTTTGGGGTTTTATTTTATTTGACTTTTAATAAAATCTTAAGCTTTAGTGGTTAAATGCTTTTACAGGTATATATTCTCCCAGACTGTCTTCACCAGGTTAGGAATTAAGTTAAACTCTACTTTCCCAGGCCATGTTGCCCTAATTACAGTAGAGTATGCTTTAATGAGGATTCTTCTAAGGTACCTCTGCCTGATATGGCAAACAGCCAAGAGGCAGACTTCAGATGCCAGTGTCAAGGACTGATTCATTGCTTATCTGCAATTAACAGTTAGGCTTCAGGGTCTGGGTAGAAAACTAGAATAAGACTCTCTTTCAGCTTATATGTTGATTCTAGAGTTGTTCACCTTTTCCAATGCAGATGTAACTCAAAGGCCAAATAGCACAGATCTGTCACGTAGCAGATACTGCTCAGAGTATGGACAAAGAAGACAGTGTTGATGAAATTTACTCAAAGAATGACCAGTGAAGGGTGGGAGGCATTTGATAAGGAAAGAAAAACAAAGTCTCCAGCAGTAAAGTTCATATACCTTGGGGTAAAAAGAATAATATATCACTGTATATATAAATAAACTTTGCCATCTTTTTTTTAATCATTTCAACCTACGAGAGTTAATGCCAAGCCTGCTTTGTTTGTGTCCCCCTTCATTCTCATGGAATGCTGTGGGTTTTCCAAAACAAAAAAGAAGGAAAATTGTCACAGCGTAGCATATGAAATATAATTACTAATGATAATACTGGAAAAAATAATTTGGCTTCTGCTCCCAAAAGCTATATTGTTCATCCCAAACAATATTCATGCCTGTCAAGGGTTAGGGCTGGGCTTTCCCCTGAACAAAGAACAGATGCTCTCTATTACCCCTCTCCCTCTGCAAAGGGGAAGGGAATAGGGAAAAATGGCAGAGAGACTTAGAGACTGGAAAAGAAAACTAAAACAGCTTTAAGGAAACAATAATACTACTAATAAGGAAAATAAGGAAATATACATAATTATATACAAAACCAGTACTGAACTTACATCTCCCCCAATAACTATCACAGAGAGGCACCAGGGAAGTCACAGGCTCATTGGCAGAACCAGGTTTAGGAGGTGGATTCAGGAATCCACAGATTAGGATCAAGGGCAGAAGAACAGAGTTCTTCTTGAACACCAGCCATTGAAGAAGAGGGCTTAAACCTTATGATCCCTCAGATTTATACTGAATGTGACCTATATGGAATGGAATACTGTGTTAATCAGGTTTGGGTCACCTCTTTTGTCCAGTCCTCCCCAGAGGTGTGACTTCTTTACTTCCTTATGACCCCTTTTACTTTCCAACACCTCCAAGGTGGCACACAGGATTTAGCAGTGGCCTTGGTTATTATAGGAGCAAGTATAAGCAAGAGCCTTGGTAGTAACTATAAACATCAGGTGTTATCACTTCTGGTAGCAGACACTGTCTGCAAAAACACGCTGGTACCTTCAGCAAGTGCAGTCTCTTGGATCTCTTAGAAGAGACTGGACCTGAAAAGTAAAATCACTGAACAAAGTTGCTTCTGTTTAGCTCAAACCAGGACAATGTCCCAGGAAAGGGAGGCTGGAGAAGGAGTAGGGGGGAAGGAAGTACTACAGGGAACCTTCTTTCATAAATCTGCTTTGTTTAATCAAAAAAATCATCGGTCTTGGCCAGCTCTCAAGGCAAACGTCCTGGCATCCCATAGTGCAGACTGCAGGACTCGTATTCATCCCACTGGTACAGCCTGACTTAGATACTGTGAAGAACTGGAATAGTGACCTGGTTATGAGTTGGGAGACTTTGTTTGAGAGACTTCCCTCAGATATGGTTGTCCACTCTGTAGCTTTTGGGAAGAAATCTGTCAAGTCATAGTACAGAATAAGACATTTCTGCCTCCTGTCCAGCTGCAGTGATAACAGCCAATCCGAAACTTCTTTTGGGAGACTTTTTTTTCCCCTGCCATCTGTACGTGTTTGAATGTAATCTATGAAATTGTGTTATGCTTAGCACCCCAGCATCTTTTAGTCTTTCTTTGATATTACTGTTTCAAACATACATGTTCTCTTTCATTAAAAAGCTAAAGTTCAAGTGGTTTAAATCTTATTTTTTCAAACTAGAGAATAGCATTACTCACATACCAGAAGGCTAAGTAATGTCTGGGATTTATTAAATCATTCAGCAAAGCTGACCACAGACAGTTGCGTATAGAAAAATGCTGGAAGAAAAATAATCTTCTATGATGATATTCCTTATACTATATAACACACACAGAGTGAAAGCCAAGTACTTGGTATCATTTCTGTCTCTACAATTACTATACTGGTTTTTAGACTTTTAACTAGCTTGACATTTTTGGCTGTAGAGCATTTGAGCACAGAGGAAATATGTAGTCTGAGATCAGAGGAATGATAAAAAAGGTAACTAATGTTAATTTAACATCTTGTTAAAACAGCTATAGGTTATAACAAGGTAAATATTTATTGGTGACTTTAATGAATTGGTAACTTTTACTACCAACTCAGTGTTATTGCACGCTTTTTAAAATCTTGCATTCCAAGTGTATTTGCAAAATTCGATGGTTGTTATATTTGGCAAAAACAGCATTATTGGAACTGGACTTGGAATTAGATTGAGATCCTTTTGCATCAGTTCCTTGTATTCTACATGCTTGTGAGCTTTACCAGTTTGTTTTATCAACCTTTCTTAGATAAATTGCTATTTGTGAAAAATGCAAAAACATTAAAATAGATGTTATTGAGCAGAAAATGCTAACTTAAAGTGTCAGACGTAACTGAACAGATATTCTTTGGAATTTCAGGTCCTTAGCATTTTCTAAACATTACACTCCTTTTAGAATCACAGGTTAAGAATCCAAAAATTGGGCAAAGGCGACAAGAAATAATTATTTGCTGCCTAAGACTATAATCTGTAATTTATGTATTATTTACTGTTATGAGCAAAAGAACATCAAACCAAATAACTATGAAAATTCCATAATAAAAAAGAAAAGTCGTGCAAACTTATTCCTGCTACAATGTATCCTCTTTGTTTGACTAAGGTTTTGGTTTATATTGAGTTACAGCCCAGGGAAAATTTTAAACTTTGCTTCGCCTTTTAAAAATTGTATTGTTTGCATATAAAAGGATTTTTTTGTGTGTGTGGATTAAGTGGTTTGTGAACAGGATTGGATAATACATAATTATGTTTTAATTTTTTAGAAGACTGTGGAATGTATTTCCCAGAAGTGAAAAGTCACCCAGACAAATATTTACAAAGATGTCCCGAGTCTGTGAAAAAGTGGCTGAAACAACTGAAGAGTGCTGGGAAGATTCTGCTATTAATTACTAGTTCTCACAGTGACTACTGCAGGCTCCTGTGTGAATATATTCTTGGGTAAGTGCAATGTCCGTTTCAAATTATATCTGCAGCCAGCAACTGGAGATAAGCCTGAGATATAGGGAAGCTGAATGGAGTTTCTTATGTGTTGTGAATTAGTTGGATCTGAAGTTTCTGGCGGGCTTCTCTCTCTAGTAGAGGGCTACAGGGCACTTCAGGCAAAGTAGTCCATCTGTTCATTAGACTCAGTGATCTTCCACTCTGCACTTCTCCATTGGTGACTGCAATTATTAGTAATATTTCATTTCCTTGCAGTAAATCTGCATAGAAAGCTTACAAATACTTCTTCCCAGTAGTGGTTTCACAGAATCACAGAATGTTAGGGACTGGAAGGGACCTCGAAAGATCATCTAGTCCGATCCCCCCGCCGGAGCAGGAACACCTAGATGATGTTACACAGGAAGGCATCCAGGCGGGTTTTGAATGACTCCAGAGACAGAGACTCCACCACCTCCCTGGGCAGCCTGTTCCAGTGCTCTGTTACCCTTACTGAGAAGAAGTTTCTTCTCAAATTTAGGTGGAACCTCTTGTGTTCCAGTTTAAACCCATTACCCCTTGTCCTACCATCAGTTGTCACCGAGAAGAGCCTTGTTCCATCCTCGTGACACACACCCCTTACATATTTATAAACATTAATTAGGTCACCCCTCAGTCTCCTCTTGTCCAAACTAAAGAGACCCAGCTCCCTCAGCCTTTCCTGGTTTCCAGGAGGTAGATGTGCCTGTGAAATGTGCATGTACAGAGCACAGCAGGAAAGATAAAACAAGTATTTTGCTGCACTTGGCAGTTGGTTGAGATTGTAGTTGCTGATCACAATAGCTACTTTTAGCTGCAGTGTCGTGTGAAATTCAGCAGAAACTTCAATAACACCCCTAGAAAGAAATTAATCAGTGATGCAAATAGCTAGGTGGGGTACACGGTAAGACTATTTAATAAATGAATCAAAGAAGGAAAGTAGTGCAGTGCAAGCCTACCTTGGCTATCTGGATAAGCAAGGAAACAGCAGAGTGAATAGAGCAATGCAATAGAAAACCACAGGTAAGATGAAAAGCAGAACTCTCTTCCAAAACCAGTCCTACCAGTATTGCTTTGCTTTTCTGCTCTCTGGGCTAAATGGAGCATCATCTGTGCCACTTCTCACTGCCTTGCATGATGAACGTTATGCTTCATCATCTGAGCAGAAAATCTGCTACTACCTCACAAAAAGCACTTCTTATAAGTAAGATGCCTGCGAATTAAGTCTTTTGTCAAGATCTGCCTAGTGCTTTCTGGTTGAAATTCTGATGTAAAACTAAATTCTTGGCCACATATAATGATTTTGGCTTTTTTTTTCCCTTGGAGAATAAAGTTTCAGCTGTTTAAGGCAGCTGTAGAAATCTTGCTAGAAGTCAGTGAACAAGGTAGCAGAGAGGGTCAGTTACCTTTCAAAGGACAGGAGAGAGATGTTCTGCTAGCAGAATACTGTATTAGTCTCTTTCCGTATAAGTGTAGGATGTTTACTGCAATCATATTTTCCAGCAACTCATGAATTGTGGCCTCAAAAACATCTTCTGAAGAACCGAGTACTCCACTGACCATTACACGTTACTAAAGTATTTTTTTCTTGGAAATAGTTATTTTTATTGGTTTTTCTTTTCATTCTGTGCCTCTTATATCAGGCTTATATAAGTTTCTACACACCTGTGCTGCTTTTCACAGTATTGGAATATAGTCTAGGTTCACACCCATTATCTCTGCCTTTAACTTTAATTTGACCAGGCTAACTGTGTTTTATTCTTGACATCAACCCTTATTAATTATGTCTATGTAGTCCTTCATTCATTTCTTTCCCTACTTCTTTCAGTATGATACTGAGAAGTTCAGAGCTGTATAGTATTACATAAAAAAAAAATGCTCAAGGATAAAGATTAGAAGTGGAGTTGTGTGTGAAGTTTTAGCCTCCTACTCCCAATATCCTTATCTGGTAACTGTTAACCTTTTTTGCACTTCATGTAAGAAGTTCCTTTTTGGCTAAGAAATTATTGGCCACATAAAATACATGGGAAATTCATGCTTAAGCTTAATTTACCTTTTCAAGAGCAAACTATCCCAGGTGTGTTCGTCTGACCAAGTTGCCCTTAACTGAAAGACATTTTGGTAAGGAGAGAGGAAGTCTTAAGAGAAAATCTCATTTTGAATTAAAACGAAAACTGTTTCCCAGCCAGAACAAACACACATTCCTGGGATCGGTCCGTAAGGCATGTAAACCTGCAGAAGCAAGTGCCAGTTCATCCACACAAGCAGCAATATCAGATTGTGACAATTTGTATCCAATCCCCTGAATGCCGAAGTGTTGGCAGGAGCGCACCTGCAGATGAGTCAGTCATCACATAGTCACTGAAGCCGAGTATCATTTCCACCTTTTGATGAATGCCAGCCATCTAAAAGCTAGGAATTCTTTGAAGCTGGACATTTCGATTCCTTCTGTGTGTAATGGAGAGGAAACACTGGGCATCATCCTTGGCAATTTGTTCTGTACCATAGAATTATGTCTGAAATAAGTAGGATGAATCACCTTTTAAGAATGTGGATGTTTCTGTGGTTGGCTCTTTCTGTGGTGCAGATCAGTAGCTGTGAATTCAGTGAGCAATTTTTAGATGGCTAAAGTTATGTGAGATACATCCTACTCTTTGTCTCAGCCATGTACTGTAACCACAGGACACTCTACCAAGCACAGACAGTAACTGGAACAGATTTTATCACGTGTAATGTTACATAATAATGTAACACAAGGTACAGGCTCTCATAAAATCAGTGGCCTTGTACGTGAGATTTGGTATGATGCAAGAAAAGACATAGATAACACCTATCTTGACACACAGCATAGTTTTTTCTTCCATAAATCAATAAAAAGTTAACCATATCTTGTGAAAACTGTTCATTCTGTTTTGAATTTATTACACAAAGGTCTCTCCACTGTTCCCACAAATCTTCATTGTTCTCCTGCAGTGTTGTTGTTTATTTTGAAATTTCAAGCATTATTTGCACCATATGCTAATTTGAAAAGTTTAACTCTATCCATACTTTTAACCAAAGGACAAAAGAGCCATGCCTGCTTGCTCAGCTTCTGGAATCTTCCACACAGAAGCTAATTTTAAAAACACACAATTGCCATATTTGATACTGGTTCTTTTAAAAATGTAAACATTTATTTATGGTCACAAGTGGAGAAAAATAGGCAAAGCTAAAATTTCATTAGAGGGAGGAAATTTAAAGACATTCTATTTTAAGGCTGGAATGTAATTTAGAGCACAAAATAAAATCCTGAAGATAAGCTTATAGGGAAGTGCATTCAGTTGTTTGGTTTTTTTGTTAGGATATCTCAGTCTCAAGGGAATTTGTAGAAAATGACGCAGTTGTTGTTCTGCCATTGATAGCATTTTAATGCCATACCCATCCTGGATTTACCATCTCTGACTTTTTTGTTCCATGCAAGAATATCCATCATTTTTTGGATGTTACAGGCAATAAAGTCACCTAAGCAATAAGAAATTTCTAATAAAATAAAGTACATCACAGATGGGGAATGTTTACATTTTCCAGTAATAAAAAACTCACTCCTTAAGCAACATTTGTCTAATTTCGTATGTTAGTAACTTCAAAACTTCTAGGTAGGCATTACTGTTATTATTTCTTGCTGTGATTCCCAGCCTGATGATTAATAAGTGAGGTTAGATTCCTTAAAATAAAGATTCTTGCTGGAGTAGGAATAAGTGGCCTCTCTGGAAATAGGCCAACTGACAGCGGGACAAGTGGCATTCATGTTCCCCAAGGTAACCTGGTTTTCCTGTTGGCTTTGTAATATTACTGGCTTGTATACAGGTGTCTAAAAAACCACTTAAATAAATCCCACTTTTATACCATGCTGAAACATTCAGTCCTGTCTAAATGGATGGGATTTCCACAGTTCAGATATCAAACTGTATTCTTAAGGACCTAATGTTCTTTGAAAAATCTGAATTTAGTGGTGGGGTTCAGCTGGAAGATTAAGATTCATATTTGGCAGGTGTTTACTTGTGAGGCACATGTCTCACCTCCCTGTGACCAGCAGGGATTTAGTCAAGGCACTTGGTGGAGTCTGAAAAAAGAGTTCAGCTAAGAAAACGGCGTTTCAACTTTAGGGTGAGTAAAGCAACATTTTAGATTTCATTGGCTGCATTAATTAGGTCTGTGTTGACTACAGTGGCCTCCTAGACACCCATTAGGCCCTTGCATACGTCCGGGTATGGATACTAACAATAAAAGCACCTGTATTCTTCAGTTACTTCCCACTCCATCACTTAACTTCATATATTCTCCTTTACAAAGAAAATGCCTTATTTACCCCTTTCTATACTTGTCCGTGCATACGTTGGCGCCTGAAATATGTCATGTGTTACATGTTCTCCTGAGATCTAAAATCTCCCTGGGCTAGGGAACAGTTTTTTGCAAATACTGAGTGATCCTGGAGGTACAGCACGGTGGGTTCTCTGCCAGCAGTCTTCTCCCTTTTCACAGCCTGAGGAAAAGAAGGGCAAGTAGTGACACTGAACAAACATCGGGATAAAAAGTGACAGAAGAAGGTATCTTAAAGAAGTATTCTGTTATTTTCTCAAGTCTCAAAGAGTATTTAGTGACATCTCAGCTAATGCATTAGTTTAACTAATTTTATTCTGTTTACTTTCTAGGAGTGACTTTGAAGAGTATTTCGACATTATGATCACAAATGCGTTGAAACCTGGTTTCTTCTCCCATACTCCAAACCAAAGACCTTTCCGAACTCTTGGTAAGTTGCACCTGTGACTCCTTTCTCATCTGCTTACCTCCATGCAAAGAACAAGGACTGGACAACGTATTTTGAAAATGGTGGGAAACATGGACTCTACACAAGACTCTTCCAGAGGTATTAGTAAAAAATTCTCTTAAGACTGAGGAGCACTAAGAAATGAAGAATTACTGGGCTGAAGACAATGAAAAGGCAGAGCTGCAACAGTATTTAAAAATGGTATTGGGGCTTAGATATTGTTATCGTTAATGAAAAAGTAAGAATCATTTTCTTTATTGTACTGACAAGGTCATACACAGAAAATGAAGATTAATTCTGAGGAAAAAAGCACAGCAGAAATATTTTAATAATTTAAAGCAAATTCAAAGAATGGTACAAAGAAAATTGCAAGGCTGAAGGAAATGATTTGTGCTGGAAATCTGACAGTATTAAATATGTGTACTTTGGCTAAATAATGATAGAGTAGGTGAAAAGGAAGTGTCCCTGTACTCACTTAATTTAATTAAAACAATCTGAAACGTTTGGCACTGTTGTCCGTTACGTAATTAAGGTTGTAACAAAAGAGGTTTATAAGAGCAGTGTTCATTGAACTACAAATAACAATAGTAATGTAGTTGAAGTCAGTTACTTTTTCTGTAGTTTAGTAAATGTCTTTATGATTAAGTGTTACCTGAAAATTAATCTTATATCCAAAACAGCATAAGTCAGCATATGTTGAACTGTATTTTAGCATTTTATGACAGGAAAGTCAGCTGTTCCAGCCCAGAAGAAATTTTGCCTGTGGAACTTTTACAGTAAAACTAAACTGAGCAGTGGAAATATATATTGAAACTGCATTTTCATGTTTCACGTATTTATATAGGAAAGTAAGTAAGAAATATCTTAAATGTGATTTTTAAAGGATTAGTTCAAATAGGAAACTGCCAAGTTGACAATTTGAGAAAAAATAAGCTCAGAAAGAAAATTTAAGCTATTTATATGAAATAGAGAGTGTACCAAAAGCATAAGGGTTGAAAAAGACCCAGTTCTGCAAGCATTTTATTTTGTTTCATGTACTGCAAATTGAAAATAAAATGTAATTCACTTTGGATGTTTTTTTAACAGTCTGATTAGCCTGACTTCCTAAGGAAATCCTGCTGTGTCCTTCTGTCAGTAATCCAGCCAGCAACTTTTGAGCCTGTTGGACAGTTTCACTAAATTTAACAGAGGGCCAAAAAGCTCCATGATATTTTGACAAATTGGGGGTTTTTTTGCACAGACAAGGGCAGAACAGAGGGAGAAGACTTGAAATTATTATCTCCATTGAGACAATTAAGCATTAGCTTAATCAGATTATTAGATCATAAGTACGAATTTTCATGAAGCTGTTTCTTTCTCACACGTGCAAACAGGAAAAGCATTCCGTGGAGTCCTCTTACTGATTTACTGATTACTGATTTTCTTTTGCTTTACATTTTGGACTTGGAAAGAGGCTCAAACGAGGGTTGATCACTCGTTACATGAACAGCTTATTACTGCAGAACAAAATGTAGTTTCTGTTCTGGAGACTTCACTATCTAAATAGATAAGGGCCGCAAATGTAACTAAAGCAATCGTTGGATAAATAATTTGCTGAAGCTACTAACCTGAGAGTGGATTTTTTTAAAATATATTTGTATTAGATTGACAGTAACTGGTTTCTTCTGAAAGTCCAGACGGAACATTCAAAGCAAAGAATTATACATATAGGACAGGTTTTTATCAATAGGTTTTGAAGTAGCAAGGAGCTTTTTAAAGACTGTGTGAAGTTTAAACCCAGCAAAATATGAGAAATTATATAAAAAATGTCCAAAATATTAGTATATTTTTATAATGTATCTTTTGCTGCCCTCTCTCTGTATTCCTCACAATAAATGTAGAGTTTCAGAGTGGGAACTGACGGTTTCACCCAGACATCGCAGGTACCAAGCAACACAGTTCTTTTCTGAAACAGCCTATGGTGAAGCTTCTAAGATATTCAGGGGCAGGCGAAGCAGGCAGTTTTCCAGTTTCGAGACTTTTTTTGAGACTTTCTTTCACAACAGAACCACCAAAAATTCATTTTCCAGTTTCTTCCTTTTGCCAGTATAGATTTTGAGCAGAAGAGTTCAGCCACTGTGCTTCAGGCCCTCTCTTCTCTGAGAGCACTGGACATAATATATCAGGGTCACAAAATTTCCTTATTTTGGCTTTGAAATAGGAAGAAAACTAGAAGTGGACATCATAGTAAATATTTCATTAAAGCACAGAGTAAATTTTCATTAGAGTAATTTGAGGAAAAAAGCTCCAGTAGAATCATAGAATAGTTTCAGCTGGAAGAGACTTTGAAGATCATCGAGTCCAGCCTTTGTCCCAGCCCTATCAATCTACTAAACTATGTCCCTCAATGCAACATCCACCCATCTCTTAAACACCTCCAGGGATGGTGACTCAAACACCTCCTTGGGCAGCCTGTTCCAAGGGCTGACAACCCTCTCAGTATAGAAATTCTTCCTAATATCCAACCTGAACCTCCTCTGGTGCAATTTAAATCCATTTCCCCTCGTCCTATCACAAACACAGCTTGTTCTGTGAAGAAATTTGTTGCAGAAAATGAACTGAAGTGACTGCTTATCAATCTTATCCATTTCTCTAGGGCTGAGATTCAGACATATTCTTCCTTCTGTCAGTGCATCTAAGTTACAATAAGTTCCTCATGCGAAAACGTACGAAGACAATGCTGTACACAAAAAAAAATTACTGCATAGTACAAATACCCTGTAATTTACTTATTATTCGCAAGGTTAGATTTTCTTTAAACGAGGAAATTCTTTATGTCATTCTTGAAAGTACTGATAATCTTGATCTATTAGATCTAAGAATCAGGTCAAAAATGTTTATGTAAATCCTATGTTGAGAATGTAGGATTTTCTTTGCTTTCAACAGCTACATCCAGCTTAAAATAATATATCATTCCGTGAAGGACTTGAAGGACTATGAATAGGAAATACAGTTGTGATTCACCTGATAATCTGCAGTACACCAAGATTTCTGTAACATTTGACAGCAGAACTTTCCCTTTATCACATCTCTCATTAAAGTACGTCAAATTACTAGCCTGACTGACAGTTCTGATCATTATCAAATATATGTTAAGAATGCAAAATTAAAATAGAAATGCTTAAGATAACCCTAAATTCCATGAAAGCCTTCTGTAAGTCTGTATGCACAGGAAATTCTCAATCAGTCCTAAATGAAATTTTCACATCTTTTATTTCCAGTTCAGGAGCAGTTACTGTCTTTTTCAATGCTTGGGATTTTTTTTTTTTAGAAACTGAAAATGTGTTGCTGATTGTTCAGTGTCTGATAATGCATATTTAAAAATGTATGGATATCTCTATATATATGTGTGTACATACTTGAACAGGGAAAAAACAATGCTCTATATGGAGTGCTAGGGGATGCCATAGAGATCGTGTGCCCTTACCCAGTGCTCAGAGAAACAAACGCGCCCACCCTCTCCTTCAGAGAGCCTTAAGTTTTCAAAGCCCACTTCAACTGCACTTCCAGGCTGTCTGCCTTATTCCTGCACTTGAAGTTTTGTCCAGCTTATGGTGAGTCTTCTATGTGATGTAGCCTCCAATTTAGGAAACTCTTCCAGTCCTCCAGTTTTTTTTACAATTCTCTGGTAACCATCATTTTAACAACTCATTGCAGAAGCTTCTTTCTTCCTTCAGTCATTCTTCTCTAGCCTTCTAAAAATACTGGAAAAATGCTATAAAATGAAAAGACCAATTAGAAAGGAAAATAAGGGGAGGGAATATAAAATTACATACTTCTAGACTGAAGACTGTCTTTGATTATTAGGGACTACAGAACATCAGAAAAGGAAGGTGGTCTCATGTCTGCTATCTAACTTTTCTTCTGCCATCTTCTGCAACATCTGCGCTTAACTATTGCCAGAGATGGGATACAGAACTGGGTGGAGAATCATTCAATATAGCTATTTATATGCATTTATACTCGTAAGACCTTTTAGGCCTGAGGAATGGGATCAGGAAGGGAGTGCCTTAATTTTCCTGGGGGTTAAATTGTGTAAGCCATATAACTTCTTTTTAGGTCATACTTTTTGTTTGAGACTTCTGTTTCTACCAGAAGAATACCAAGTTACTACCTAGTAAATATTTTAAAGGCCTTTGGTAAAACTGTAGAATATATATTAAAAATGTGGAAATTTTGAAACATCATATTGCACCATTACAAGGGAATATATAATTTAAGCAGTCTTGCATTGTTCACTTAGTTGAAGAATATAAATGGCATCTCAAGAAAATTCTGATTAGATTTTCAACAAAAACACATTGAATTGATTCTACAATATAGCTCAGTTGCTATAATTACTATGTAATAGGTATCTCAGTTACTACCTCTACGGTAAAGGCTGCTTTGATAAGAAAAAACATGATGGCTTTTTTTTTACGTCAGTCTGAGAGGTTAAAACTCTAGAAAGCTTGCCAATGCTTTTTGGCTATTTTAGTTGTTCCAGTTACCTCTCTTTAACAGTCTGGTCTTGCTTTAGATCATCAGAACTTCATATTTAAATGTGAATTCAAATTTAAATTTAAAAATAGATTTAGCCTTTAGGTCATCACGGATAGAACAGCACAGGTGTTGGTGTTTTCATGTAGAGACTCGATACTTGACAGGAACCTGGTGGTTTGCTGCACCTGTGAATCCTTACCCAAATGTACGTGGTTCTCAAAAGACTGTCATGTTTTCTGCAGATTTGGTCAGTACTGAACACCTTTGGCCACAAGTCATTGCTGGGATTATATTATAGAATGCTTGGGGCTGGAAGGGACCTCTAAAGACCATCTAGTTCACCACCCCTGCAGCAAGCAGGGACACCTTACACTTGATCAGGTTACTCAGAGCCCCATCAAACCTGAACTTGAATGTTCCCAAGGATGAGGCCTCCACCAGCTCTCTGGGAAACATGTTCC